ATTCCTTACTGGAGGCTCTCTTTTATACCCATATTTAGTGACTTATGCCGTAGCTACCTTTGTACCACAAACTCTTAAAACCTGTATCTAGTCATACCATTCAGTTGTCAGTTATTTAATCATGATCAACCGTTGCTAAGCATTCTATGAAGTCACAGCTTACCCTTTTGTTTTATGATGGTGTCATTTATTGGCAAGAGCAGGAGTGAGGCCTGCCCTTGCTGGGCAGAAGTCAAGGGCAAACCCAGCAGCATGGCAGAGTTCCTCCTGCTCATCAGCTGCTCTAACTGCAGCCAGGAACAGGATAACCAGCAATCATCACTAGCAAAGAATATTTCAAGTGTCATTTTGTTTAAGTTTATTCATTTTTATGATTTGCATAATTATCAAAACTGTCAATGACTATTGTTCTAATGCCATTGTCTGAACAATGTTAATATTTTTAAAATACTTAAGTATCAAATATTCTATTTATTTATTTATTTATTTAAAAGTGTCCCTGCCTTTCCAGCCATTAGTGGGGGCTCACCTTTTTGCCAGTCAAATGCATGGTGTAAATTATTCTCTCAACAGAAAATTGTAATGCCTTAAATTACAGCAAACACATGAAGTATTTCTCCTGCTCCAGCTATATTGAATGGAAAGAAAATCTTTGGTTGAGCACCGTGATTTGCATCCATTGTAGATTCACTTGGTCACGGCATAAGAGGAAATATTGGGGACACTTCTTTGTTTTGAGATGGTAGAATGCACCTGTATTTTGTACCAAATTAATGATCATTGGTAGAATTAGTACCTTACAGAGTAACCAGACTAAAAGTCTAAGCAAAGTCAGGGCCTGTTCAAGAGGTAGAGATCATACATAAAGAAAGGAAAGTGTATACAGAAAGAAAAAAGAAAATGGCCATAGTTGTAAAAAGGGCAAAGAAAGAAGGCTAGAACCCATGTATGACCAGAATCAGAGCAAGAGTCCTAATGATGATGGCCAGGTAGGTAGGGACATTGGACAAACAGTGTTATCCAGAAGACCAAAAAGAAGGCAATAATGGAGAAAAGTTTGTGCAGAGTTCTGGATAGAAAGCAATTTGGAGGATTCCGAAACAAAGCAAGAAATTTATGTAGAAACATATCTGAGCACCAAACCAGTTGCATGTTTCAGGATGATAATGAAGGACTCATGAGCTGGATGGCTACTAATTATTGACTGTACAAACTACAAATATGTTGGACAATACTAACATTCAGCATCTGGATACTTCTGTTACTAAAGGAAGTCTAGGTCTAAATATGGCAGGGTTAAATAAAGGCTACAAGGGTTACCATAGGTTTTATTTCTAAGATGTCTTGGACTATACAGCTATAGTTGGATTTGCATTGCTGCATGGGGTATAATGGTGCAGCTGTTCTTTCCAGAGCTGCTAAATTCTCCATCATTCTTTTTAAAAGGTTTTATTAATGCAGAAATAGAGATAATCCAACTAGTAATAAAGATCAGGAAGAGGAAGAATTTTGTTTAATCATAAAAAGTCAGTGAGATGACAGTGCTTATTTTTATCTCTTTATTTGGTTTGGGGTCAGTCCGTATGCATTGTTCCGTGTAGATTACCAAGTTGTCTAAACAGTTGGTTTCTCAACAACACTCAACATACTTCAATATTAATACAATATATTTCTCAGCACATTCGTAACTCTTCCCCCCAAAAACAATCCTTTGTGGTTTACAAGTGCAGTTCATGAGCATAGGTAGCCATAAAAGTTTAATAAAGCTGGCCAAGAGAACACGACTAGATGCTTTGGTTGGAAATAAACCCCTAATATTACAGAAGCTACAAGGGGCGGACCCGCGATACTCGCGGGAGGGGGGAGGCAGGAGGGGGAAGGGAGCTCAAGGAGGAAGCAGCAGGAGGAGGTAAGTCTCCCCCATTCCACCGGTTCCCCCCGTCCCCTCAACCCCCCT